CTTCAGGTGGACCCGCCCCTCCAGGATGCCCGCGGCTGGGCCGGTCCGGGGGCAGCGGGCTCAGCGCGGCGCTTGTGTCTCCGCAGGGATCGACAAGGAGAACGTGGAGCTCTCGCCCACCGCTGGCCACGCCAACAGCGGGAGGATGCGCCACGGCTCCGCCAGCCAAGTACAGAAGCAGCGAAGCGCTGGCAGCTTCAAGCGTCACAGCATCAAAAAGATCGTGTGATTGTCGCTTTTGAATTTTATTTTTTATTTTTGGACCTGACACGCGTGGCCCCTCGCGAAGGGCCCTCCACCGGGTGTGATGCTGCACTTGATCTGTACAGTTCCCGTCCCGTCAGCCGTGTCGCCAGATGATCAACTCCTGACCCACTGCCTGAGTTAACGCCGTCATTCCCCCGTGCTCGGCTTAGGCCGGCGCCCAGAGCCACGTGTGTGCCCGGGGAGGTTGGAGTTCTGTAGTTCTGCAGAGCCGCGTCTTGTTCGAATCCAAAGCCATTTCCCAGCCTTGCCGTGTCTGCTCTGGCCTCAGGTGTTCCTGCTAAGGGAAGTGTTGATCCTTAACCCTGTTTGCACGCCTCAAGGTAGTAGTGGCTTCCTGAGCTGGGGAAGTTTCTCTAACCCTGGTTTTAATCCAAACTTAAAAGATTTTAGCTGTGTACTTTTTTTTTAACCACACTGAGAAGTTCATGATAGCTGCAGTACAAGGAGCTTAACAGAAGTGGTGGATTAGGTTAAATTTCAGGTAATTAGCAATAAAGGGGAGAGAAAAAGGAGGCTGCAGGAGTCCCTCGTTCCCCAGACCAAGCTTCATACACTTGGACTGTACATGGACCAGACTGGACAAACTGGCTTTTTTCCCAAAGCTTTTTTTTTTTTTTTTTTTCTGTACTTTACCTGCCCCGAGGAAGTTTTACAGGGGAGAATCCCTGGGAACTGACCCTCGGGCTGTCATTGTAGCACCTCCTTTAGTTCTGCCCTTCCCAACAGTGCACACCTTTGAGAGCTCCTGGCAGAATGTCCAGTGGGGAATGGAGGGAAAATGGGATGGGTTCATTCCTGGCTCTGGGGGATAGTGTGTGGCAAAGCTGCCCCTGTGCTGCCCCAGCAGGGACAGAAACAGCCACGTCAGCTCAAGGTACATGCATTTAAATTAACTGACACTGTGCCCAGTCCCAGGAACGTCTGGCAGTGGCGCAGTCCCCTCAAAGGGGGTTACACAAACCTGAGGCTGCTGCCACTGTCGGGCTGCGGGTGGCAGTCAGGCACCGGCTGGGGACGGACACCCACCACTGAGCTGGTGAGGGAGGAGTCAGCGCCGGAGCTGCCATGGGTCCCGGAGCTGCCGTGGGTCCCATTGCCACCGTGGGTCCCATTGCCACCGTGGGTCCCGGTGCCGCCCCACAGGTCCTGGAGCTGGTCCTGCTGTGGGTGCCAGTGGCCCACGGGCACGCGCGGGATGTCCGAATTGGGGTGAACTGGAGTTCAGGCAGGGGCTGTGTCCCTGGAGGCTCACACAGCTCCTGCCCAGAAACAGATCCACTTCCCAGTTTCAGATCCCTCTGCAGTGGTAGGAATTAACAATCCTTCAGTGGCTTTAAAGGAAAAAAAAAGTATATCCATTAGGTAAAAGCCAGTCCTCCAGTGCAATCGTTAGTGGCTTTCAGTAAATCAAACTCCACAGCTAAATTATTAGAGAATGGTACAATTAAGGATTCCAATTTATTGCTATAGCACATAATTCCCATGTATCCACACAGTAACAATGTAACATTTATGTAAATAAAAATACCTTTATTGTATTGATTCATAAAATACCAATTTCTTTAATTTGTTTACAGTCCTGGAAAAAACTATGAACACAAACTTCATATGCAAATAGTTTGCCAAAACAAGAGGAAAACTTAGAATTAGCAGTCATGGAATAAACAGGCTAGAAAGATGAGCTGGTGCAATTAACCAAATCCCCTCATTTGGGTGGTGCAGGCGCCAGGGCAGGAACGTGGTCAGTGGTGACAGAGTGGGCTCTCTAAGCAGGGCTGTGAGGCTGAGCTGGGCTCAGGGACAGAGCAGGGGCTCAAGCCTTGGGTTTGGGGTCCCCAGGTTGGAAACCATTGTCATCCCACAGCTCAGATTGTGTGGAGCCACCCCCGCTGTCACTGGCGTTTGCACTGGGTTATGCCCAGTTGAGCTGGTTCCAGCCCTTCTCGTTTTGCTGAGAACAAGGAATTGTAGGAGCCTGAGGATCTGTATGTAGGAGGAAAACAAGAATCTCATGTAAAGGTGGTGTGCTGTTCTCAGTTGTTTCTCATATGAGCAGGTCTCCTGCAAACAGCAACAGTAATTCCAGAGGAACTGCCTGACTGATTTTGTTTGGGCAGAGAGCAAGCCCTTCACTGTTCTGCATCGTCCATGTCAGAAGTGTCCCTCCATCAGAACTGCTGTGTTCTCTGCAGCACAGAGATGTGGGAACAGAGGGGACAGGGATGGAAGTCACCTTTCCTATGAGAACTATTCCAGGCTCTCAGTCTCAGCTGAAAAAACTGGTCTCTTCATAAAGTCAGCGAACAAAACTGAGTTTCCTCTTTCTGAGAAGGAGGGAGTTGGTTGGAGTTTTCCCTGTATGGGAGGTTCAGCAAGAGGGCCTGGTCTCTGGCAGAGCAGAGGTATCAGACACCTGTGTCAGGTAATGGGTGAATTGGGGTGCAAGGACTGCTGCTGGCCATGATTTAATTTGGGATCAACAGGAACATTGTCTCCTAGTACTGGTGCTTGGGAAGCTTGTGCTTGTCTCCCAGGGAATCATGGCCTTTGTGTAATGATTAAACTCCCATCAGTAATTAGTTGTTGAGTGCCTTACTGTCACTGCGTTGCTCTCCCATATCCTCCAGCAGCCGCTGCTGGGATTTGCCTCTTTTTCTTTCTCACATCCTCCTTCCTTTTTTCTTCCCCTGTTTGAGCACTCTCCATCCCACTCCATCCCTGGGGAGCTCTGCTCCCATCCTGGGCTGCTCCATCCTTTCTCTACCTGCTGCTCTGTTCTCTGGTGACCAGCAGGTGGGTGGTGACAGTGTGGGTGTAAGCCCTGACCTGACACGCAGGAGTCCCACCCTGGGGTCCCCAGTGCCACTGTGCTCCGGGCAACCTGCGGGCCACTGGCAGTGCTGCTGCTCCAGGCTGTGCTGCAGGGCTGGAGCTGCAGCCCCAGAGTCCCTGTGCTCTGACATGAACACTTCAAGTTCAGAAAAATCCAATTGGAACACGTGGACCATGTAACTCCCGGGGAGCGTGTGTGACCCCCCCTGGCTCAGAGCCCGTTCCCTGCCCCGCACTGACCACAGCTCAGTACTGTAAAGACAATTAACATTTCGTTTGTGTTTGTATTTTCCCTGACTTAAAGATAACTCAGTAGTATTTGAATAGTGCATAACCTACCTGTAATGATGCTGATGTTTCTGCTTTACCGTGCATGAGGTTTCCCAGGACAGGGAACATTTCACTGAGTCTCATGGGCTGAGCCCCCGGCACGTGCCAGGGCTGGCTCTGACCTGGGTTGTAGGTTTTAGGGCTTTTTCTGTTTCATTCTAAGGTTAATTTTTTCCGAAGTCACAAAGCACGTCCTATTGTTATGCAACAAACCACAGACAGTCACTCAGAGTGTTGGTCCCACCTTTTTTTTTATGCAGTATATTCACCTGTAAATAGTTTTTGTGTAAAATTTGACAGAAAAGTATATTTACTACACTGTAAATACATGTGACAATATATTGTATTATTTTGCTTTTTTTGTAAAGCAGTTAGTTGCTGTATATGTATAACATACAAATTGATTATTCTAGTGTTAGTAACTGTTAACTACTCCTCCTCCCTCCTGCTGGTGCGTTCGTCATTTAAACCAGAAGCTGTGTCCAACACACTCACCTTGTGTATGATCTCACTGCTTCCATCCAGCCTCGGCTTCCCAAGGGTTTTCCGTGGTCGCAGTCCCGGCTGTGCTGTTGGACCGAGGCTGTGAGCTGGAGAGCCCGCTGGTCCCGGCACCACTGGGAGCTGTGGGTCACAATGGTGGAAACCTGGTTTCAGATAATTATTGTTCACCCCATTCTTCCCTCATGTATGTACATCCCCCCTTTTTTTGAAGTAAAATGTAAATTCAACCTGCTCCCAGTTGTTCGAAGGTCATTCCCAGGGGCTGCAGGGTGAAGGTGGTGGACACTGATGTCCTCTCTCTGTTGGGACAAGTCTGGGTAGGTTCTTTGGGGCTGAACCAAGGGATCCAGCCCAGTTCCAGAGCCCAGCCCCCCCACTTTTTCTGGGGAAAATTGAGATTCCAGTTAAAGTCCAGTGTCTGGGGTTTGTCTTCCCAGACTGGTGCTGCTCTGGGTGTGGGATCCTGTACAGATCTGAGATTGCCTGCAGTGACTGAGGAAAAAGAAAGCCCATTGTCATGAATTTCATGTCACTTCAATAAGATTACTATAACTGAATAATAAATCAAAATATTTCTTTTTAAAATGTAAATTTAATATTGTAATAAAACAGCTGCTTGGTCTTTAAAGAACAATTCAGTATAATTTGTCTGTTTGAGTTTTTTTTTGCCTAGAAGCTTAAGGTTTCAGCTGTCAGGCAACTTCTCTGACAAATGATTAATCACATCTATTTTTCTTTTAGGGGAATACATTACTTTCCCATTAAAATTGTATAAGTACTTATATTCTGGCTTTGTGAATCGTAAAAGGATGTAAAGACACATTAAAGTGTGACTGCATTGACTTCTTCTTAGACATCTTATTGTTCCTGCATGGTGAGCAGACAGACCTGCAGACACCTGGACAGGTGATTCCTGTCATGCTCCTGGTGCCAGCTGGGGCTGCACAAGTGGAAGAGCAGCAGTGTGTGAACTGTTAAATTTAATTTTCTTTACTTTAGAGGAAATGTTCCTTAGTTCTGAGTTGGACCTGGAGGGAGAGCTAGGCAGGAGCCAGCTCCTGAGCAGCACCTGTTCAATCACTGCTGTCAAAAACATTTCTAAAGTTCCTTTTTTGGACAGTGGAGCCTCCCTGCTACTTGAGATCACAAATACACTATAGCCACAGGGAGGAAATGAAAGGAGAGTTTTATTTTAGTTATGTATGCAGTTGGAAGAGCTGTATTTAGGGGAAAATTGCACTGTTGGAGCAGGCAATCTCTCTAAGGAAATAGCTTCAAAATCCCTGCCCAGCTGATGCTGAAATACTTTACAAAGGAAAATAAAAAAGTAAAAATGCAGAACTTACTTGAACTTGGGAAATTAATTCTGTTCTGGAGCTAAAAACTTCACAAGGAGGAAAAGAAAGAAAGTTGTTTATGGTTGAGGTCCAGCAGAGCTGTTGGTGAAGGTGCCCCAGCACTGTCCCAGGTGAGAAGGGTGGTATCTGTTCCCCGAGGTCCTCTCATAGGGTTGGATTCTGCTTGCTCAGTTACACCATTACCCAGTGTGTTTTACATGTCCATCCTCCCCTCAGCCCCCTCTAAGGACAGGGGACAATACACCTGAACTCAGCTCCAAGGTGCTGGATGAGCTGCCTGTGTCACAGAACTGACTGCCAAAGCCAACCTCCTGCAGCTGGGCTGTGCTGCGTCCCTCAGAGCACTGAAATGCCCTTCCCACTACAGAGTTACAAGTTTCAACTGTGAAACCTTTGTGCGTTTCAACAGGGGCTCTTCAGTTAGCTGCTCCTCTGGTTAATAAGCTCTCAAATGAAAATCACTCACAGGCTTGTGTGGGTGGAAAGGGTACAAAAACAAATGCCATGATGTGACTTGTTCAAATAAGTGTGGGCTTGTTCTTCAAAGGAATAATGAAAAAAAACCTCAGAAGGCAGGATCTTTTGGGATATTTAAATGACAGTGCTATAAATAGCAAGGAGTAACTATATGCTCAAGAAAATCCCCCTGAACTATTAAATTGTATTTTTTTTCTCATAGCATACTGTCTTTCAGACAAACTGGAAATATCTGTTCTGCTACTTCCACCCCCAGTTAGGTACTGGGAGAGCAAGGTCTGCCCAGGAGAGCTGGCTGTGCAGCAAGGCACAGTGCAAATGCTGAGGAGCTGCTCATGCCCCCCTCCTCCTCTTCCTCTTCGGGCTGTGAGGACATGGAGGAATGAAATGGCCGGGTCCACAACAGGTATCAGCAGTTCTGGTCCCCACATGTGTCTGACACAGGCTGTGGTTGTGACCTTGACAAATGCCTGAACGTTTGACCACCAGGCACTGTAAACGCTGGCATTGCCCAACACTTAACAGCCAAGAGTGGCTGTCGGCTGGGAATTCTTAACAGACAAACTTCTGAGATCTCAGATTAGGGACATCAAAAGGGCAAAGTCTCAACTCCGATGGATTTTTCCACTTCATGTGCGGCACAATCTGTAGTTTTTAAGTGGGTATTTAGTATTAATTCCCAACTGCTCTAAACAAAAAGAGGCGAATCAGGAACTTTTCACAGAAAAATACACAAATCAGTGATTTAGGAAGGACAATCCTGCTCATGACTGTGATTTCTCCAAGTTACTCATTTACACTCTCACATACCAACTGCCTGCTGCAGGCACGTGTCAATAAACAGGCAGGTTTGACTTCAGCCAGCCTGGTCAGCACAGCATTGAACTCCCCCTGTGCCTGGCAGGTTTGTGCAGCATTACCTGGCACAGCCAGTTGAGCTCTGGGAACAACAGTGGCTCTGCAGGATGAGCCCAGGGTACTGCAAAGGGAGGAGGCTGATTGGGGGTGACTGCAGACAAACAGGAAGCTCAGGCTTTCAAGCTGGAAGGAGGCTTGAAGTACTTTCCTGCACTGCTGCAGCCATTGGATACCCCCAGGAACTGCTCTGGTTTGTCACTCTAGCTCAGCTGCTCCCTGTTCCTGCCCCAAAGCATGAACCACCTCTCCCTGGCCTATTGCTTCCCTCTGACTTTGCTGCTAAAGTTCCAAAAGAAGAAAAAGCAGCTGAAGTTGTTCCACTGGGAAATCCTGAGTCACCTGTCCCCACAAAGACAGGTCCAGTAACAAACGCAGAGCAGTCTCCTCAGAAGCCCTGAAGCAGCACAGCATCCTGTGCCCTCTGACCTGCCTGGCTGCATGGGAAGGAGCAGCATCCACACCTGGCTCCTGCCACTGCATATACACACAACCCTGCTGGATTACTTGGAGAGGACACACCACTCCCAAACAACTCTTCCCACACAGAGCCAGGGTGGATGCCAAAACCCTCTGGCTATCACAGTAACACAGAATTCCCAGTGATGCCCCACAAAGGTCACCACAGACTCTTCCCTTCTGGTTGCTGCTTGGGCTGCTCCTGCCACACCCTAGGACCTTTCCCTTTCTCACCAGCCTCCTCTGGAAATTCCCAACTGCGTTGGAAGAGCATCAAAAATTTCCCAGCCTCCTCCGAATGCCATGCCCAGAGCTGTCCTGGAATCTGCTGTCACACAGCCCACAGAGCATGGTAGGGCCAGCACTAACCAGCCATGCTTCCCTACTGTGCATCCCCCCAGAACCTCAGAGCTTCCTTGGGCAGAGAAATCATTTACACACTGGATCTTCTGCAAGGATGCCAAAAGCCATGGCAGGGACATGTCACAAGTCTTACACAATAACATGGAAAGTCTTGGTTAATTCCAGTTTGGTGCTGCAGCAGCTGAGCAATAACCTTGCTGAACACAGATTTGCATTTCTCATTCTAGTTCAGCCTTGCTGTTCCAATCCATTGCTCCTAGCTTCTGGCTAATATTTGCTCACTAATGTGTCACCACCAGCCAAACGTTTGTGTAGAACTGTATCTAAAGCTCAGAATCACCTGTTTGCGTGTCTGGCTGTGTTAGCAGGCAATGAAGTGCTTTGGCTCCGGGGCCGAGCTCGATGGTCCCAGCAGAGCCGGGCAGGCGGAGGGTGCCGCAGCAGCGACAGGAGCCATCCTCAGCGATTTGTGGAAGTGCCCAAGGCTCGACCGGGCCACGCGGCAGAAAGCCCGGGCCAGACAGGCAGCGGAGCTACGGGGACTGGCGGGGCTGTGGGAAACAAACCCCACCGGGGCAGCGGCCGGGAGAGGCCAGGGATGAGAGCCGGGCTGGGCCTCGGAGGCCCCACAGGGCCTGTCTGCACCCGTCTGCACCCGTCTGCACCCGAGAGAGAGGGGGGGAGAGAGGCGGCGCGTCTGGACTTTCCCCGGCCTTAGCCGCGGGAACGACACCGGCCGGGGCGCTCCCCGGGCCGCGGGAACGATACCGGGGCTTTGACGGCTCCGCTCCCTCAGGGCGCGGGGCGGGGCTGCGCGCGCGCAGGGCTCTCGCGGGACGCGGGGCTCTCGCGAGAGGGGCGGGGTGGGGCGGGGCCGTGTCGCTGCATGTCCGAGCCGGGCG